GTGTGAAATGAAAGAGAGGTGGTTTCACATGTTTCGTAGAAAAGAGGCTAATTTGGCTTTGAAATACCCTCGGAATAGCCTGCGACACGAGCCAGTTTTGTTTATCTACACTACTTTCACCTTCCACGTCTACAAACGCCACACAAACATCTCATTTCTCATCAGTTAGCTTTGGAATTCAGTGATAAGTACATGGCAGTGTGAGTAAAAATTAGTGAGTTTGGCTCATATGTTGCACTGCATAGAATTCAGCGACTCCAAGGATAAATGAAAATTATTTTCATTACACACGATTCTCAAAAGTATCAGATTCTTTGGCACCGAAAGAAATGAAGAAGTAGGATATTGAAACTAAGCTGACACTTAATGAAATGTTTGAGAAAGTTTCTGTATTAATGGACTGTCCTACTGTACTATCGGAAGAATTTGTTGCAGTAGTTTATGATAATGTGTGTACAGCCCCAATTATGGCAGACAAAGTTATTTTGGAGTTTGTTCAAAGCTAAAAAGATATCATTGATGCAGATTCTGATGACGAAACTAAAATGAATGAATGCAGTTCCTGTTCCCACGTCATCCGAAATGAGGAATATCATAAAAAGTATGGATAGTTATTTAGACGCACATTCCAATAGTGAAATGAATAACAAAATGTTCGACATTGAACAATTTGATGCTAAAAAAGACAATGGAAAGAAAAATATCAGATTATTTTCCCAAAACTCAATAAATGTTTTGTTTTTAAAAAACATGAAAATTTTGTATTAAATTCCATGAAGTTCTTGTGGATGTTTTTGTTTCATTGATTTATTAAATACATGCATATATACATATATATGTAAATAAAATGTACTCTAATAAGCTTAATTTTGTTGAATATATGTTTTTTTTTTAATATTTTTGAACACGAAAAAATATTTCAGTCCCCTCAGTTTTGTGTTAAATGATTTTCACTGTATATGTATTGCACATAAATCCCTTTCTTACATAAAATATAAATGTATGTATAAATAACTAAATAAATTGTAAAGGAAGTTTAATTAGCAACTATGAAATCTTAAAAAAGTACATATATGAAATTTATAATGGCAACATTAAAAATAGATGAAAGTAAATAAAATTTAAATTATAGAACGTACTTTATAAAACTAATAAACAAGTGGTTAAAAATATATATTTTAATTACTTAAATATGGAAGTTATTTGGCAGAGATTGTTGGATATAAAATAATTACTACTTCAAATCTTTAGATTACTATTGTTCATATTTAAAGTCTCAACTTGCAGTCTTAATCCACATAACAACCATTATAAAAATCACTCGTTATCATATTCCAAAGATCAGCAGCATACATTTTTTTCAAAATCGTGCATAATATTAAATATTGGCTTTTGATAGTCAAGTTGATACAAATAAGATGAACTGTTTTTATGATTTTAGATTAGTAGTTTATTCTTCCATTCACTTATTACACTATTTTATTTTTTATATGCTTGACTATCCAAAATTTCAAAAGCTTTCCGGATATTTTTTACAGTAAAAACTCAACTCAGTATTTACATCGTCAAAATTGCACAGACACATACTTGAAGTGAATTTACTTTTACAGCTAAACACATAAACTGGAAAACGAAAAGTAGTACTTATTTGGAGACTATTTCTTTCGTTCATGAAAAATCAAAGTTCATTGCACAAACATGCAATCACACTGCACAAGCATGTATGGAAATTCTTAACACATTTAGTTATCCTGATAATTGATTACACATTTAGTAAATAAAACAGAAAATATTTTAATGTATAACAAATGAATAAAGTTATAAAACAGAGCATAATACTACAGTTACGAAGATACTTAATGTTTATAAAGTTAGGTAATTTTAGTTTTTCACCAAAGCAATGAAATATTTTGATAATTATGAAGTTCCTTGTATATCTTTATAAATGAATTTTATTGCTGTTTTAAGCAATTAAACAACTGTCCAAGTTATTTTAATAGTTTCGAAATATATACACTGAAAGAAACATTAAAATTTATTAATCTATTTGTCAACCTTGATTTTGGCATAAAAGTCTGCAGAATGCTTCGTAGTTTTTAAGCACACAGAGGCACTGCAATTCTTTCTTATTCCTTGATCTAAAGTTTTTTTTTTAAAATTTATTTATTAAAATATCTGTGTTGGCACACAATTTTTGTATAGTGACTTCGGATGTGGATAAGTTTTGCGAACACTCGTTTGTTTTACTGGCTTCGCTGAATTTTGCGATGAATGCATCACATTTATTGCCGAGTCTTCCAAATTTTTCATACTGTTAATGCATCAGCAGTGAATTATTCTCCTCTTTCCTCAAGTACACTACGGCAATAAACAATAACCATTCACTAAATATTTTGCTTAAATTTCCACTCATAATAATTTAAATTGCGAAAATCTCACAATTAGCACCTAAACATACTAATCAACACCACAATTCTTTCGAAAACGCGCCGTAGTAGTCAAAAGTTGGGTACGCCGTCTTGCTAGGTGAAACTAGTCGATATTTTGGTGACGTCAAAAATTCGAAAAGTGGGGTAGGGTTTGGAAATACGCATCCAGGTAAACATTGAAATATAAAATGGAAGTTAGATTTTGAATGTTGATCATAAGTTTCAAGGCTATTAAGTTAAACTGCAGAAAACTTTTCAAAAGAGAAATTAAAAACTGAAAACAACAAATTACAGAACTAATGTATTCACACACACACACAACACAAAAAAAAAAAAAAAAAAAAAAAAAAAAATTCACCAGACAAACCAGTTTAAAAAAAATAATAATTGAACTAAGGAAGTAGCTGTTATTTTGGAAACAAATAAACAAAAACTTTTCATTTGAATAATAATAAAAAAATATACATAGATTTTAAATCATTAGTGAAAAGATCATTAAAAATGCCAGTGTGGTAACTGTATTAGAAATCTCAGCTCTTCTACATATAAATCCATTAGTAACTTTAAATAAATAAATAAATAAAGGTCATCAAAGACATTCTGATGGTTCTGATGAAGTCATACATGTGTGCTGATTCATTGCAGTTAGCAATATTTCTAGAAATGTGTCTGTCCTGAAATCAGTTTCTCGTGTATTTCAAGGTTTTGAAAAGAAGTAAAAAAGTATCAAATTGGTTAACATTTATTCAAAGGGGTTAAAACAAAAAGAACGACATTTATCTCATGTACATATTTTAATTCTTTTAGAACTTGTATTTTAGAACCATCAAAAATTGTTTTCAGATTTTTTTCCTTAAATAGCTTCACAAAACTCACTTCATTCTCTGACGACTGAAAGTATTAAATTATATTGCTTGTATTATTTGTTACTGTACTAAAAATGGTTTGCCTTAATAGATGTTGTGTATTATTTATTTTTAGATTATTATATTAGATTAAGTTTATTCTTATAGGAAAAAAAGTAATAATGTATATATGTGCAAGATAAGTTGATAAAAAGGTTAATTTTTTTGATTGTTTACTTAAAACATCCAACAGAAGTCATACACTTAAAATTTATATGTATAAATTGATTCACATATTTGCATTAAACTGAATATTTTTAAATACATTATCTTAGAATAATAATGTACTTATGTAGAATTTACTAATATTTTACTCTATATACATACAAATATATTGCATTATTTCAGACTTCCATATTTAGATATTTGGATAAAAAAGGCCAAGCATTTTTAGATGTCACATCTGTAAATAGTATAAAGCAAAACTCTTACAGAAAAAAAAAAAAAAAAAAAAAAAAAGGGAAAAGAAAAGGACATTCGAAGTACAGTTCTTATACTAGAAATTAGGTGCTTTGAACCTATAAGTTCTTTTGATAAAGTTAATGACAAGACATAGTGCTGCCATTTATTTCTTAAATAGAATATATAAATATGTCATCTATTACTTGAATATAATATATATATATATTAATATATAAATATGCTTGAATATAATGTATAATTATTTTCAGGAAAATATTTTTTTAGAAAATATTCATAACATTATAATTTTTCTAACAAAAATAATCATCTGTTATCATACTTCAATACCATAAAATATATTTGGAGGTAAAATGACTTTCCTGTATAAAGTTTTATTTTTGAGCTTATGGGGGTAGGATATGATAATAAAACAAATACTGCATAAGTCATTTGTAAGCGATTATTTTTTCTATATTCAGAGTGTGTAATCAGTCACATATATTTATAAAAAATACCTTCGAATTATCTTTATTATAATTTTGTACATATCCCCCTCCTTCTTTTCAATATTAAATAGAAGAGAGTCAATTGTGTTTTTAATAGATCATCAGGTACACTATCAAAAGGTCAAAAATTTTCACGTCTTTATATTAAAATTTGATGTCTAAGAGTTTAAAACAAACCCACACACAAAGTTTGCTGTAGAAACCAAAATTATGATAAAAAATTTCTAAACTTTTTTTTTTCCCTTAGGAGCTGGGTGGTTTGTTTCCCTTTTTTTCCCCCCAGCTAGATTTTTTCGAGACCGGATTCAAAAATGTATGTATGTATGCATGTGTATCTGTATGTATGTGCGAACAAGTGTGTGCACACACACAAACGTATGTACACACATATACATATGCTACATGAACACCTACATCCGTACATACAAGCATATGCACATACATTTCTGAATTAATCTCCTGAACACACTCTTTATGTATATAAATGCTTCTGTATGCAATTTTATAGAAATATTTAGCTACGCATGACAGAAAAGTTACACAAGGTTTTATGACGATTTTTGAATTTCGTTTCATAAGAATGTGATTTTACTGCTTGCATGCATGATTTATTTAAATCTGTTGATAAGAATTTCAAGAAATTTTCATTATTTGTGTAAACTCCGCATCAGTATAAAATGATCAAACATTAGCAATTTAAACAAGAAATAATATTCAGATATATTTAAAGTTCTTTATTTTGTATAATGTTTTAGATATCTATCAAAGAATGATAGTAATTAGTCATCAAACGAAATAAAAAGTAACTTTTTCTTGACATTCTAGCCCTACACGGAAAAGCAATTCACCCTTCCGATAATCAACACAAATGTAAACAAACATCTCCCTTACGAGTGGTCGGAATGCGCAGAAATCACGAAAGTGTCTCTGCGCAACTAGTCGTACGTTTAGCATTTTTACCATGTTTCAACTAAACGTCCGACGTCGTACGGGTAGACACAGCCCAAAGCTATCAGCTATTCGTTATCGATGGGGAAAGGACAGTCTGGGCCATCCGAAAAAGCGGCGACCTTTCCCTGCTACGTTTCCTCCAGAAAGATCATTTTCGACCTCTGCTTAACTCGTGGCTAAAAGATTAGGCTAGTGGAGTGAGTAATGTCTTACATTTAGTCAGCTATGGTTCCATTTTCGTGTTGCTGTGTGGTTATGTTTTGAAACAGTGGAGTATATTTCATAATCGGAGTAATATATATTAGCTGTGATCAGCAAAGATAATTTTAAAAAATTTTATTATTCATCAGTTAATCAAAGGATTAACTCTATTCGTGGAAGATTCCAGATGTGGTGATTTTACGTCTTAATTTTAATGAAATAATGTGTGTTGTCTGTTGTTTTGTAAACTTGCTGCGTATTTGTATGAAGAATGTAATTTTTGTAGAGTCAGAGGAATTGTTTACGTATTAAATACGGTAAAACATTTTTATAGAATTTATTGAACGTTTCCATGATAGCGTATATATCTTACCTGCAATAAATTGAAGGAAATTATGTAAAAAAATTTATGAATTGTAGTTCCCATCTTCAGACACTACCCTACTTGTAAATAGAAATCAGTGTCTCGTTGTGTTAAATGCATCGATAAAGAAGCAATGGTGGTGTTCTGTATTATATATAATATCTGTATTTAGTCGAATAGAGGAAAATAGAATCTGTCTAAGGATTGGTAATCTCAAATAAAGAACATTAATATTTTCATTTTATTAACAGACGTGAATTATGGATACTCCAGCAGTTCCCACAGTTGAGAGACCTTTTGTGTGCATGACATGCAACAGGGCATTTTTGAAAAAGGGAGCATTGCAGATTCACATGTATACCCATACAAGTGAAAAACCTTATGTTTGTGACATATGTAAAAAATCCTATGTGTACAAGTATCAGTTAAAAGATCATATGTGTAAGCATACTGGTGAAAAGCCTCATGTGTGCACCTCATGTGGCAAATCATTTGACCAGAAGGAAAAATTAAAAGTGCATATGCTAGTACATAGTGGTGAGATATTCCCCTGTAATATATGTAACAAATCATTTCTGAAAAAGATTTCTTTGCAAAAGCACATGTGCACACATACTGGTGACAAGCCACATGTTTGTCATATATGCAACAAGTCTTATCTGTACAAGACATCATTACAAAAGCACATTTATTTGCACACAGGTGAAAAGCCTCATGCATGTTATATGTGTGACAAGTCTTTTGCGCATAAACATCAGCTAAAAATACATATGTATAACCATTCTGGTCTTAAGCCACATGTTTGTGTTATATGTAACAAATCATTTCCGTATGTGTACAAGCTGCATCGTCATCTCCGTGTGCATACTGGTGAAAAGCCATACGTCTGCAACATCTGCAACAAGTCCTTTTCGGAAAAGCATATTTTAAAGGATCATCTGGGTACTCATTTAATTGACAAACACCATGCTTGCCATATATGTGGTAAGACATTTATAAGAAAATATAACTTAAAGCTACATATGTGTACACATACTGGTGAGCGACCCCACGCATGTAGCATTTGCAATAAGTCATTTCTGCAGAAGTCCAGATTGTTGAGACATATGAATACGCATATGCCTAATCAACCTCGTGTACAACCTGAAGTTGTTGAGAAATCTCATATATGTTCCATTTGCAATAAAGCATACGCAAAGAGGCGTCAGTTGCGAGTGCATATGTGTACCCATGCTACCAGAAAATACGTGTGTAATGTATGTAGCAAGTCATTCGTCTTTATGGACAGATTAGTTCGTCACATGCGTATCCATACGGGAGAGAAGCCGTATGGCTGCGAAGTATGCGACAAGTCTTTTGCCCGAAAAGATACTTTGCAGATGCACATGCGTGAACACATGGGTGATAAATGTCATGTTTGTAAAATATGTAAAGAGTCATTTGCACAAAAAAATGAGTTAGACGAACATATGCATAGTCACCCCTTAGAAAGTGAACCTATGAATGATAGACTTCATATTTGTACTGTATGTTGTGAGTCATTTGCACAGGAAAATGAGCTAAAGAAGCATATGCATTGTCATCCATTAGAAAATGAATACATGAATGGTAAATGTAATGTCTGTGCAATATGTGGTGAGTCATTTATGCAGGAGAGGGAATTAGAAGAGCATATGCATTGTCATCCATTAGAAAGTCAACTAATAGGTGATAAATGTCACATTTGTATGATATGTAGTGAAATGTTTGAACATCAGAGTGAATTAGAGGAGCATATGCATTGTCACCCATTAGAAAGTGAACCCACGAGTAATGAGTGTCTTGTTTGTGAACTATGTAATGAGTCTTTTGCGCAGGAAGATGAGTTAGAGGAACATATGCATTGTCACCCATTAGAAAGTGAAGACACAGATGATGGGTATTATGTTTGCCAGATATGCTGCGAGTCCTTTGCACTGGAAAGTGAATTAAAGGAACATATGCATTGCCATCCATTAGGAGGTGAACATACGAGTAATGAAAATCATGTGTGTCCGATATGTAACGAGTCATTTGTACAGAAGAACGAATTAGAAGAACACATGCATTGTCACCCAGTAGAATTAGTGTGAGACATTTGTACAAAATGTACATATGCAAAAGCAAAACAGAGTATATTCGCATTATGAAAGATAGTATTTATGTCCTTAGAAATTTTCTGAAATTGCTGTACTATCTTTTGAAAAATGTTTCAATTTCAAACAGTACTTATGTATAGCAGAAATTTTGAAATTTTTTATCAACCTTCAAAAAGAAAAAACTGTGACTTAATATTAGTCTATATTAAGCAATTGCTCTCAGATTAATGATAGATTTTAGTTCTACAAAACATGCAAGTGAGAATGATTCCATTTCTGGCATTTAGTAAGTTTTATGTAATTTATTGCACAAAATAATAGAACTGAGACACTGTCTGTTAGAGTAGTGTATTTATTTTAATTTATTTTTGTTAATTGTATAATAGTAACTTTATTACTAATTTATATACAGTTTCTTATGGTTTTAAATGGCCCTGGTATGTTTAGGCATTTTATGCATGTTTTAAAGTATTTATGAAATAATATTTTACTAACTTTAAAATTGGTGTTTGAAGTTTATTTATTACTGATTTTACTTTATTTATTACTGTGCTGGTTCGTATGGATTTTTTTAGTATTAATAAATATTTCAAGACCAGCCTCATTAGTGCTAATGGTCAAATTTTGCTTAAATTCATTTATTTCATGTAGATGTGAGCAGCAGTATTCTGAACTTGTATTTTTCAGAATACATATAATGCAATGTTTAGTATTATTTCATTTCCTATATTATACTTAAAAAGTGTATGTTCATAATTGAAATATTCTTTGCACATTAATAGGGAAATAGAGATATTTAAATTGTTAGCTAGATGCAAATGATACATTACAATTGTGGTTTATATGCCTTTATTATAATTAATATTGAAAAAAATTAAGGTTGATCTTTGGATTATGGTAACTTGGCGATTTTTTGGCGAAAATTTGGCGACCAACTCTGCTACAGCAACCCTCTATTTTTTTTTTCCCGCCGCCATTTTGTCTTCACGAAGTAAAGACATGTTTCTTTTCTTTTTATTTACTGAACACTTTTTCCAACAATCTACTAGCCGAATTACACTTATGCTAGAAATTTTATCTAACAAAACTGCTTAATATCATGACAAATATTCACTGCAAAATTGGGAAAAGTGCACAATAGCAAACTCCTTGCGCATTTTTTCAGAAATAACACATACACATAAACCATGTACACGTCGTCGACTTATTTTTACTTAAAAAAACATCCCAGAATTGCACAAAAATGGCATTGCGCACACTCTTCACTATATCCATGTACACTGCTTTTTTCTCATAAATTAGAAAAATTTCACGAAAAATACATGACAATTTTTTGAATCTTTAAACCCGGTAAAAAGAACATATATGAAATTACCTGATCGCGAAAAAGTATATACCCTTTCCAAATATGAACATTTCCACGTATAAAATAAATAAAATATCCAAAAACTTTTACCTCTCAATTATCTATTATATTATAAACGTCACCAACGAATTCATACCGCAAACATTACAAATACTTAGTGTCAAATATTTAAATTATTTCCATGCACGTTTACTTCAACTTAAACATATACCAAATTCCTACAAACATAAAATTCACAAAATAACTATCATTTAATTAAAATATCACTAAACCATGTACACGTCGACTTATTTTTACTTAAAAAAACATCCCAGAATTGCACAAAAATGGCATTGCGCACACTCTTCACTATATCCATGTACACTGCTTTTTTCTCATAAATTAGAAAAATTTCACAAAAATACATGACAATTTTTTGAATCTTTAAACCCGGTAAAAAGAACATATATGAAATTACCTGATCATGAAAAAGTATATACCCTTTCCAAATATGAACATTTCAACGTATAAAATAAATAAAATATCCAAAAACTTTTACCTCTACATTATCTATTATATTACAAATGTCACCAACTAATTCATACCGCAAACATTACAAATGGTTACAAATACTTAGTGTCAAACATTTAAATTATTTCCATGCACGTTTACTTTCACTCTAACGTATACCAAATTCCTACAAACACATAATTCACAAAATAACTATCATTTAATTAAAATATAATTAAATTCAAAAACACTACTTAAAATATAAAAATCATTGCTAATAACAATTTTCCAATAATACCATATTATTTTATTTACTCCTTACATTTACAGCAATGCATAAAAATAATATCCTCAAATAATTAAAAATACTAACTTACCTAATCTTCTTCAGAATCTTGATCACATGTCCGATAAACTTTTCTTATTTCCTCCGCTAAATAAAAAGCAAGCGTATGTGCGCCTGTTTCAGGATCTTTAAAATCATACTTATAGTTCACAGCAAGGTACCAGGTAAAATAAATAACTTAATAAAACATCTTTACTTCTATCTCCCACAACCTTAAAAAAACACATATTACTACCCCTTTCAATCCCACTAAATACCCATTTCGAATTCACTTTAGTTAGGGCCATGGGACCCAAAAATTAACGAACACTGTTTCACATAACACAGAATAGAGCTAAATACAAAATTTCCAGATTTTTTCCCCGATTTCCCCCTTTTTCTGATTAAAGAACTGTAATTCGTCCATTAATGTCACATGACATATCTCATGATCTCTCATTTCCCTCACACAAAATAATGCGTAATCGGAACTGAGTACTTCTCACATTATAACCAAAGTCCTAGGTAGTAACCTTTATCGCCTCCAAAATGTCGCCAAACTACCAGTTACCATATTCCAAAGATCAGCCAAAATTAAATTTTTCTTACTTAATAACCCATTCGAACAAAAACAAAATATGAGGGCATCTAAATATCCCTGAACATAAGTAATACTTTAACAGCTGAAATATACTAAATATACTTTTAGGATATTTAGCATAAGATCTGAAGTAATCTTTCTGCTCTGCACCCAGAATTGGTGAATTTAATCACACAGTCTATAATGTGAAATTTGAAATGTCACCAAAGGCTTATACAGTGTTTGCTTTAACAAAGAATTGCCCTTAAAAAAAAAAAAAAAAAAAGCTTAAATTTACGTATGTATTTTGATTATGAGCATAATTTCTTTTTTGCATACGAGTTTCACTCTTGTGTATCAATGAAATATTTGTTTTTACCTTTTTTTAAGAGCATCGAATTAAAATTCTTTAAGATGGTCTTCTGAAGGCAATTTCTATTTCATTAAACTCCTCACTGCTATCTTTAGATACTTCAAAACTTATTTCAGTACACAGTCAGAGATCCAGAATGACCTAAAATATGGACCTTCCAACCAACAGCTACCTTATTTTTTTTCAGGAAAAAAATTTTTTTTTTGTGCTTTACGCATGCATATATGATATTTTTTATAATAAAACATGTGGAGAATCCCGATTTTTAATTTCACTAAATAACATATTTCCATATTGAAGAAATAATCGGCATTTTTCCGTTTCGCCGGCGCAAATCTCGCCGAGCAGACTTCATTGGCGACAACTTACAATATACACATAAAAAATTTTAACAAATGTTAGTTCTAAGAATTTTTTATTTTGAAGGCATAAACATTTTAATATCATTTAAATTTTGTAAAAAGTCAATAAATAAAGGCAGTAAATTTGTAAAAAGATATTAATTTAAGAATTTACTATGCTTTCATGGTTCAACATCCTGATTCACCGGTTCTTATCATGTGACCGCAAGTGATCTTATCTCACGTAAACTACGCTGGAGAAATCGAAGTCTCTAAGTAATTATCTACATTAATTTCAAGTTAAATCATAATTTCGAATACAAGTTTAAATGCAAGAATTATTACAATTCGTACGAATAGAAATTATGTAAAACTGCAGTGCTTTACTTCGCTAGTGCATTCTCATTAGAATTGATGAATTTAACCCTTAACTTTGCCTTTTCCATATTCGCTCAGTAGAATTGATAAATTTAACCCTTGATTTTGCCTTCGGATGAGCGGTATGATTGCATCCTAATTGACTTAATTACCTCGAATGGCATAAAATTAACCTTAAAGCATAAAATTGAACTATCTGGTAAAAATTCTGTGTGATTGTATGCCAGTATTAAAAGAAACAATCAATCTGATAAGAAATGGCTGAGACTTGTTTTGAAAATGAGGCGTAAAAGGTTACCAGCGAGTATATTTCGTTTGGCATCAGTTGTACCATTATTGGTGACTTTATCGCCTGTGCCAGCAAAATGGAAAAGTACCAAATAATCATTTAATAGCATAATTCGGTATGATCTCTAATTTGGCCCTGTGGCCGCCTTTTTGCTTGGCATACATCTCAAATCAAAACATTCTATGTCGAGACATCATTTGTTTTACACCTACTGAATTTATATACCTGATGCCAACCTGGCACATCACCATTTTTTATTTTTTGCTTTCGTCACTGCTATCAACAACACAGCAGCTCGAGAAATTACCCACAATATAAACATTTTTTTTTTTTTTAAGTATAATTGAATACCAAACAGCATTATAACAGATATTCTGATGATTACAGACCTCAGCTAACTTCATTGCAAAATGTTGAAAGTGTTGAGAAGAAAAATTTAACAGAAATTTCTTTCCACGTGTGCAATCAAAAAACAGATTTTGTAAATGATATTTATAGGTAAAAAGACTGGATTTGGTGCTGTTTGAATTATTAAATGATTGATTTGTTATTGAGATATAACCCCAGAATATGTGCCAGAGCTGGTGTAGTAGAATTTAGGGGAGGATAAAAAAAGTATGGAGCAACCAAATTAACCCATTAACCACCAAACTATAAGGAACGATTTTTTTTCTTGAGACAAATAAAATAAATATTATCCATTTATAAAATAAATTTACACTGAAAATTAAAAAAAAAAAATGCTCTTCCTTATAGAAAAATCGAATGTTATGTTCGTACAACATCAGCAGAATAAGAATACAGATGTTTAGTGAGTGTAATAGTACTCGTATGAAGTTTTTTTTTTTTTTTTTTTTTTTTTTTTTGAGTAGAGCACTGGGGATTACTTTTTAGCTGTATAATGTTTTGTAATTAATTTAATAGTAAAATTTACATTGTATTTCTTTTACAAATACAGATTATTTTCAGTTGAAAGATTCAGGCATGAAAAGTGTCACTACAATTATGATGTAAAGCTACATTACATACTTAGCATCTGTAAACAGTCTGGCTATGGCATTCTTTACAAATGTGCTTTTCGTCTTCTATTATCCTCCGACTTCAAGATAAAATGTCTACCTTTTCCATGCATTGGCTTTTGAATGCTGAATTTATTAGGTCTTTCTGTTGCTGATCTATTTCTGGCTAATTCTGTGTTCTCAATAGGAGTTTGCTAAAGGAATAATGCAGTCTTGCATCTAAAATCTAAAAGTGAGTTAGGCCACCAACATTTTTTTGCCAAGAACCCTTATTTTCTAATTGGCTACTAAATTATTGCATAAATGACTTCTCCCATTTTGGCAATGTATTGTTCATTAAGATGATGAGATACGAAAACTTTTTTCCTTTGCATTCTGGAATAACGGAAAAAACGTTTTACGGGCTGAGTTTTTTCAAATTTTGAACCGACAGTTACAACCAAATAGTCGTTCCATTGAACAAAATTTAGGCTCTACTCTTATATGTGCCTTAAGATCACCAAATGTGGCAATATGCGTTCTGCGCTGGTTTTTGGCGATTCTGTACTATGGTATAGTTTGGTGGACGATGCTGTTTGTATGGCAACCCTTTCGACGTTGAAACGTAACTCTTTTGCTGCAGTGGTTTAACTGCTCATTGGTTCGTGTCTTTGTGTTTTGAAGTGGCCTATGTTGCAATGATAGATGTGGTGGCAAGATTTCAGTAGCGTATTTCAGATTGTGTGGAAAGTAAATTTAGGATTAAAAAGTACGATGTTGGAGTTGTTGACGAATCTTTTGTTCACATGTGTGTTTATG